TGACTGATGTCTACGGTGGCGAGTGGGTTGCTCGCCACAAGAAGGCATTCCTTCGCTGGCTGTATTCCAGTGGGGTCTCCTTCAATGCCTTCCGCAACCAGGCGGGAAGGCATGTCAACAGGTGCTTCTTGAGCAGCCTTGCAGTTCCCCGCGCGCAGTGCTCCCCAACCACTGCAAGATTGCGAGTATGCGGGCGGTGGAGACCCACCGTGCGGAGTTGGCGGAGGAGTTGGAGGAGGTGAGGCAGCCATTCCAGGTGACTGGTGCCACCCTCCTCTCCGATGGGAGGAAATCACGAGACGGGAGACCGATCGTGAATTTCCCTGCTGCTGGCTTTCGAGGGGTCGTTGTGTACATGACGATCAATCGAGAGGGCGAGGCGGACGATGCAGTGCACGTCCTTCGGAGATGGGTTACCATCTTCCACGAGTTCAGCTTCGGCGGGCCGCAGTGGATCAATGCGATATGCACAGACTCCGCTTCTGCCTATGTGGGGGCTGCGAGGGCATTGACCTCGTCGTCCATACCTCCTGCACTGAGGAGGATCACTTGGCTCCCGTGCTCCGTCCATGTCTGCAACAAATTGTTGTCAGACATGGGGATGAGTTGCAACGCGTTTGTGGACGTGATCACACACGCTCGTGTGCTGGTGGTGTTTTTCAAAACCCACCAGGACGCCCTTCATTTTTTTAGGACGCGCAACCCCGACAAAGGGCTTATTATTTCTTGCGAGATGCGGTTCGCGTCTGTTTACTCCATGCTGGAGAGGCTGTTGGCCTTGCAGGACACTCTGCAGGACATGATGCGAGGGGACGACGCGCGGGCTTTTGCTTCCATCCCGTGGTCCGCCGATGTGTGCGTCATGGCGCGTTGGGTGCGCCGACAGATCAGATGGGATCCATGGTGGCAGAGGGTGGCCACCATCGTCCATATCATGCAGCCCGTCATGGAGTTGCTCAGGCGGATGGATCGTGGAGGACAGTACATGTCCCTCATGATCGAGTGGACGCAGGATCTTGTCCGTCGTGTCACGGACGCATGCACCCCTTTGGGGAAGTCGTTCGTCGAGCGGATCATCAGGTGTGTGCAGGATCGCACACATCACATGCTCGAGCCGGCTCACTACGCAGGGTTCTTACTGAACCCCCACAGGCGACACGTTCGCTACTTTTCGGGGCAGGTAGAGCGGTACGATGCTTGGCTTGTGGGGCAAGCCAAGAGGTACATTCTGACGCAGACGGGATTCGAGTTGGAGGGTGCAGAGTGCATCCTTGCATGTCGGCAGTTTGAGGACTTCCACATTCAGCAGGGCAGGTTCGGGGATTGGGGCGGGACGGAGGGATTTGCTCGTGGGCGCGCGTGCAACGGCGACAACAAGACGATTAAGTGCGCGTCTTGGTGGTCTCAGTTCGGGTCGGGCGCGCCAAAGTTGCAGCGTTGCGCTCTTTGGGTGATGCACATGTGGTCTTGCGCCTCTCCAACGGAGAGGAACTGGGCAGTCCACGAAGGCATTCACACGAAGAAGCGCAACCAGTTGGCCTTCGAGAAGGTCGTACAACTCGTTGAGATCACCACAAATGTGCGGTTGACTGAGTATCGGCGGGCTGGATGCGGTTATGTGTTGCCATGGCAGCGGCATGAGGGCATGCTGGATTGCCAGGCAGGACTCGAGTTGGAGAGCCTGTGCGCTCGAGGACTCGCAGGGGGATGACGGAGGAGGAGATTGCCCGTCAGGTTGCACTTATTACCCGGGATCCCATCGGGCCGTCCGCACCACCCTCGGCTGATGCCGTTTTCGATAGACGTGCTTGCATTTTTCGTCCCTACCCCAGGGAGGACGACTCAGACGAGGAGCCGATACCCGAGGCAGCAGATGACCCTGTGCTCCGCATTCCCCGGGAGATCGACGAGACGCACGACGATCTCGACTCCGAGGAGACGAGGGCACACACTGCATGACGGGCGGCGGACCGGGCGAAGAGGGAGCTGCTGGGGGGAGACGAGGACTTTTGGGCCCCATTCGGTGAGGTCGTTTCCACTGGCGGCCCAGAGGCGCAGGCGACGACCCCCACTCCGACGAGGCAGGATTCGTCCATGCCACCACCTCCGGCTCCGAGTCCTGCACCACCATCGCCCGTCTCGCCACTTCAGCCGGACAGGGAGGAGTTGGGGTCCTCTTTGCCTCAGCGCGGCCTTCTCCACAGAGGCGGCGTAGTCCGCCAGCTTAGGTTACGATCACCTTCCCCGGGGATATTGGAGGAGGAGGGGGCACCTTCGGCAGCATTAGTGGAGAGTTCAGTGGCACCAGCGGTGGTGTCGGACGCGACGATCGCAGCCGCGGTGGAGGAGATAGCAGCAGCAGCAGCAGCATCAGTGCTGGAGGAGATGGCAGCATCAATGCTGGAGGAGGATCCACCAGCGGCAGGAGGAGGTGCAGCAGTGGAGGGGCAGGTGGCAGCAGCAGGAGGAGCAGGTGGAGGAGCAGCGGCAGTGGAGGTTGCTGTGTAACCGTTTGAACGCCGTGACCGCGCGTTCGCGTTCAAATGTGCATTTGCACGTTCGCATTCAAAATTGAACGACGTTCAATTATTTATTTATTTATTTTATTTCATTTTTAATAATTTGAATGCCTAAAAATAACTTTTTTTTTCTGAATTTTTTTTTACGAGTTCTGTATGATTTGAGGTACATGCCTCTCAATTTTGGAGTCATTTTGCTTAGGCAAACAAAAATGAAAAATCGCCAAAGATGGCGGTGTCAAATCGTGTTCGCTCACTAATTTCAATTCTTTTTTGACTTTTTTTAATTTTCTGTTTTCTATTTGTTTTTCCAATTTGGTAACGATTTTAGATGTAATGCTCAGGCAAATGTTGTTTATTTTATTTTTCTTCATAACATAGTTTTTTTTTTTGGAATTTTTTTAGTTTTTTTTTTTTTTTT